AAAAAGGACATATTTTAAAATAAACATTTGATTGCCAGAATCTGATGTAAACTTCAGATTCAATTTTACATGTGGTAAAAATGAAAAGACCTAGGGTTCTGTATTTGACACTTAGCACAAATTCCTTTTCAATGATTCCAGCTGATTAATAAGTGAGACTAAAATATCTTACTCTTCCTAGCCAGAATTTAAAAATTTAAGCATGCATTGAAAATCTCTAGGTTATGAAATGCAGGTCTACGTTCACTTATGGAGGATCTAGAAAAAATAAGACTGCAGACCTGGTAAAATTAAATGTCTACTACTTCTATATTCTAGTCATTGCAACTCACCTCCTTTTATCTCTTATGTTGTTTTATTTTCTCAGGGAAGCAAAAAAATTTGTGAGTGAAAATGAAGGGGCTCTTGGGAAAGGAAAAGGAAAACGGTGGTTTGCATTTAAGATGATGATGGCCAAGGTAGGTATTCTTATAGTTGTCTGGTTTATAGCCTATTGTCCCTAAGAAAGAGAACATTGGGAGAAAAAAAACTAAAGGGGTGAAAAAAAATCCTGCATTTGTATGTATAAAGCACAAATACTAGTACAGCATATACACAGCCTATCTGTGGTATTGAAGTTTACAGGGGAGATTTAAAAAATTGTCCTTAGTGGAGTTAAAATGTAAAATAAGTAAAAAAATACAGATTTATGGCAAAAGACTTACTTGTGTGACTTTAGCACTTCCAAATATAAAAGATTGCGTCCTTTTTCATTTTCGTTCTCTGGAAGTGAAGGGGTTCTCATCAAGTTGTTTTTCTTGAAGTGTCTATATAGCTGTTTTCTACCGGGAACATTAACTATACACTGGACAGAAAATAAGAAAAAAATAAACGATACACTGATACAAATATAGATTTTGGGGAAAGACAAAAAAGCAACTAACATTATTTAACACTTGCTATGTGCCAAGCACTGAATTGAAATCTTTTATAAAGTTATATTTAATTCTTACAGTAAAGTAGGAACATAGATATTATTATCTCCTCTTTACAAATGTTATACCAACTGTAAGCTAAATGTATTCCCATAAAGTTTTGTGAATAAAGTTCATATATCTTAACTTTCATATATATATATATAGATACAATAGATTAATTTTGTATGTTTCTACAGTTTAAATAAATGAAGTCATATAGTATTTATATGTTTGTTTCTGGCTTCTTTGATGCAATGTTATGTTCACAAGATATATCCATGTTGCTGTGGAAGTCATAGTTTATTTTTATTCATGTGTTGTATTCTGTTGTATAAAGATGCCACAACAATTTATTTACCCATTCTTTTGTAGATGGTCATTGTGGCTGTTTCTAGTTATGCTTTTTCTGTTCGTTTAAAAAGCTAACTCATACACAATTATTAGTCTTCTGGTTTGTTGAAACAGTAATCCGGACATTTGCTACAATAATGTCTCTTGGCCGGGCATGGTGGCTCACGCCTGTAATTCCAGCACTTGGGAGGCCAAGGCGGGTGGATCATGAGGTCTTAGCCAACATGGTGAAACCCTGTCTCTACTAAAAAAATTCAAAAATTGGCTGGATATGGTGGCTCACGCCTGTAATCCCAGCTACTCGGGATTACACAGGAGGTGGGGATTGCAGTGAGCCGAGATTGCACCACTGCACTCCAGCCTGGGGTCAAAGCGAGACTCTGTCCCCTACCCCCACCCCCCCAAAAAGTCTGTCAAAATGGCTGGCCATGAAATCTTCAGCAATACGTTCATCCGAAGGGCATTTTTGATGAAGGTGACTAATTTTGCCATTTTCGTCCACCTTATAGTATTTCAGAACAGCCAGCTTAACCTTCCTTTCCTTATGCTTACTCTTCTCTGGAGTGGTGTAAGACTTCTTCCCTTTCTTAGCACCACCATGAAGTCTTGACACAAGATGAAGAGTAAATTCCTTTTGAAGGTTGTATTCAGACAAAGCACATCCATCTTCCAGTTTCTTGTCAACAAAGATCAGTCTTTGCTGATCCATAGGTATTCCTATCTTATCCTAGATCTTGGACTTTGCATTTTCTATTGTATCCCAGGGTTTAAACTCTAAAGTGATGGTCTTTGCCATAAGGGTTTTTAAAGAAAATCTGTGTTTTGGTGGCGGTTCCACTGGAGAAGGCAGATGGAAAAAAAAGTGGATAATTTTTTGAACTTCAGACTTGTGCTGTTATTTAGACAGTAGTGCCTATCTAGCACCCACATCATCCCAGCACGATATGCACACATGCAAAGTTCTCTGCCACATTCTCATTCTTCCCAATGGTCCTCTTGACCATGGATAACTCAACACTGGAGTTAAATAGAAGGAAGACCTCTTGTAAAATGAATTTTTGACTTGTTTTCTTCTCTTTCCATTAAACTGACTACTCTGCCTCTACCAGATTGAAGTGTCTCATGCCATAAAACTTACTCTTCTGTATTGAACTCACCTATTATACACAAACTACTCTAAAAGATCAGAAGGCTTTCAAGACAGGACCAGGAAATAAAAGACAGAAAATAAAATTTATTCATATTGAGTCCTCCATACCATGAATACTAAACGCACACTCTGTTCCGATCACCCTATTATGTGCTAACTAATTCCCTGCTTTCTTACTGTCTTACAGAGTAAGTAGCTCTTTCTGAGTGGTCAGCATATGTCCCATAACATAGGGGATTGATCAACATTATTTTTATTGAATTAAATTGGTTTGTGGTTAGTGGAGAACAGGGAAACGAGTGAAATCTACTGTTTCCCCTTTTGACTAGAAAGCAGTATTTGATGCCAGAGAGACCTTTTTTCCAAGCTCATTGCATTGTAATGTTGTGAGATGGGGGGATAAACATCTTCACAAATCAAGAGGCTGGACTTTACTGTTGTATCTGACCTTCTTTTCAGAAATGGGCAAAATTCCTCCGTGATTTTGAGAACTTCAAAGCTGCATGTATCCCATGGGAAAATAAAATCAAGGCTATTGAAAGTAAGTGCTCATTGGATCTCAGATGGAGAAGGTTGTCTTAGAAAAATATCTTATAAGCTTATCAGATGCCTTTCTCAGTTTCTGGACTTTGGGAAGACTGGAAACAAACAAACAAAAACAACCAAATAAACAAAAGTGTTGTTTGTGACTGCTTTGGTCATTGTAAAGATTTGCTAGCACTTAACCAAGGACAACACTAGGGACCCCACTCTCATGTTCTACCTTAGTCCGAAACATTACCATTCTAACCTGATTTTCTTTCCTATACAGGGAAGTCACTGCTGTGCACAATGATATTGAGGCGTCTTATTTGAAAGGCAGAGATTTTATTTTGGCAATGAACATGACATTGAGAATATACACTCATTAATGTTAGACAGTAATCAAAATGAACAATGTTTTAAAATGTGAAGATGTCTTAGGCTGGGCACGGTGGCTCATATCTGTAATTCTATTACTTTGGGAGACTGAGGTGGGTGGATCACTTGAGATCAGGAGTTCGAGACCAGCTTGGCCAACATGATGAAACACCGTCTCTACTAAAAACAAAAAATTAGCCGGGCCTGGTGCAAGAGCCTGTAGTGCCAGCTACTCGGAAGGCTGAGGGAAGAGAATCACTTGAACCTGGGAGGCAGAGGTTGCAGTGAGCCAAGGTCGAACCACTGCACTTCATACTGGGTGACAGGAAGAGTGTTAAAAAAAAAAAAAAGAAAGATGAGAGAGAGAGAGAGAGAGAGAGAGAGAGAGGAGAGAGAGAGAGAGGAGAGAGAGAGAGAAGAGAGGAGAGAGAGAGAAGAGAGAGAGAGAGAAAGAGAAAGAAAGAAAGAAGAAAGAAAGAAAGAAAGGAAGGAAGGAAGGAAGGAAGGAAGGAAGGAAGGAAGGAAGGAAGGAAGGAAGGAAGGAAGGAAGGAAGGTCTTAAAACCTCATTTTTAAATCTCTGAAGTAGAATAAGCAATAGTCATCCAGGAACTTGCTATCTGAATATTCACATTGTGCCTTTATTTTGTATAATATTCATAGGAAAGAAGGAAGGAGAATGCAGCCAATCAAAAATCTATTTAGTTCACTGCTCTAGGCTTAGAATAAGGCAAATACAAATTTTAAAATATTGTAAATAAAAATAGTAAAATTTTAAAAAAATAACAAGGAATCTAAAAAAGAAGGGCTAACATTTGAAACTATTTTGAGCACAATCTTGCCACATTCTGGTTTTAACGGTTTCAACTAGGATCTGATTTTTATCCATTCCTCTCTAGATTGGAGGCAGGTTTTCCTGCTGGTTAAGTGTGGTGTCGTATAATTAAAATGGAGGCTCCATAGGGAGATAACACAGCTGATGGATAGCTTGCTGACATGATTGGACATGTTTTAGGAGTGGCTAACCTTTGATTCCCTATCTTTCAATATCGGATGACAATTATTAAGTGGCAGTGAATTAAAATACATCAGCTCATTAACTGTATCCCCTTCCACACAGTCCTGATGCCATTTCTTTCCTGCTTGAATTTTCTCTTTAACAGCTATCTAAAATACTGTATCTTTAATTTTTTGATGTAATCTTAATTCATTTTATTTTACGTTCATTTCTCCCAATAGGGGACATTTAATTTTGTTCACTCCTGGATTCCATTTGGCACTTAATAAATGTGTATTGAATAAAATTACAGACAAACTCTCTAAATGTCTACCATTCTAGGAAAAAAAGAAAGGAATTCAGACACATCAAAAAAGAGCAAACATCATGGATTTCTTAGGTTTCAACTGTACAGCTCAAATGTGGTAGCTTGAGAGGCATTGAGAAACAAAAGGCCGTTTGGAATATTAAGATCCTGATACAATCCATGTGGTAAGAACTCTGAAGTTGGTCTTTGCTTTGCTGCAGGTTAGCTGTTTGACGTGGAGCCAGTCATTTAACCCCTCTGGACCTCAGTCTACTAATTTATAAAATTATAGGGCTGAGTCTTGATCAGTTGTTATATATATCCCAAGAAATTTGTAATTAATGATTGGTAAACACATACATTTGAAAATTATTTTTAAAGCACACTAGAGTAGGTGCCAGCCTATCTTTATAGTAATATCATGCTCGTTTGTGTTTCAGTCAGCCATATCCAGTGAAACAGAAACAGACAGAATTATTTTTATTGCCAGAAGTTGCATGCAGCAAGAGTTACACATATGACCACCATCCATCATGAATGTCACAGTGGAAAAGACAGATTGAGAGCTATCCAATAATAACCTTCACTTATCTCCTCTCCTCTTCTAGTAAATTTGGAAAGCCAAGCTGGAAAATTCAGGCAAATGTGGATTATTTTGCTTTCCATATATAATTTATGATTTGATTAGTTTGTCATGACTTCTTCACTGTTAATGGTGCTTTGTCTCAACTGTGAAGAATGAGCTTTATTTTTTATTCTATCAGTATTCACCAAATCACCATTTATTGAGTGCTACCATCAGTCAGACGCTCTACAAACATTATTTCACTTAACCTTCAATATTCCTGCAATGTGAACATTAACCTTCCTATTTTACCGTTGTGGTTAAATAATTGTCCCAGAATTAGTAGCAGAGCTGAGATATAAGGAAAAATCTGTCTGAGTTCAAAAACGTATGCTTTTCCATGTGTTATGCTGCTTTTTCCTTTGGGGAAGGTTTTATACACTTTTTCTTTTTAAATATGTTTTACACTAATTCCTAAAAAGTATTCTACCAGGCCAATGGCAGGATGAGTAGTTATAGATTTTCTTGATCGTTATCAAAGAATTATTTTTCATTTTCTCATGTATTTACTTTTGAGTGAGTGATTTATTTAATTTTATGTTTTATATTCTATAAGATGCTTAATGTACTAAGATTTTAATGATAATTATGAGATTTGCGCTATAGTATTAGGTTGAAAAATGTGATGGTCTTTGAAACTGAACTTAATGACAAATGGGAAGAAGTAGGACATGCAAGGACATGCAATTGATTTTCTAAGGGTTGAGGACTTTTTGACCCCTGCCAGCTCTATAGTTTGGACAATCTGTTTAAATCTCTGGTCCTCTGTTTCTACATTTGGGGCTGCTACACCATCTTGGGTTTAATGAATCACTACACAAAAGTATTTCCAGCTCAGCATTCTATGATGTATAAGTTACAGTCAGTTTTACATGTATATGTAGGCATGTGAAATTCATTAATTCATACTTTTGATAAGTCCTCAAATATTTAAATGCAAAACAGACTTATACGAAGAGAGAACTGTATAATTGCCTCCTCAAATTCTCTTCAAAATAAAGTTTGTTAACTACACTACTTATAGAATATATATCTAATTATAAAATTAATATAAATTCTTTTCTCTTAAATAAATGGCCATTTAATCTTACAAAAGCTTCAGAAATACCATTATATTCCTTATGGACATCAGAATCATCTAATATATACCTTGTTAAATCCTCGGAATAAGCCTGACATTATTGATGAACTGAGCAAATTCTGGATGCCTAACACGTCTCCTTCGGTGTGTTTCTAGGCACCATCGCTGCTGATAAAGACACACAAAGACTCTACACTCATTAATCTTACATCCAAATGGGTTGATATGTGTATGCTTGGATGGGGAATTATAAGCAGATAAATACTGACGGTAATTGTGGATTTTAGTAAGTGGATTGGACAAAAGAGGAGCTGTTGCCTTCTATTCCCAACAGCCTTTCTAATCCACCTTGTCACACCCTCTGTTCAATGTCTAAATAATACTGAAATAATATAATAAAATTTGGTTTTAAAGGAGTCCAAAATTAATAGCCTTCACTGAATTTCCCCAAAGCTCTGTCCAATAATTTTCAGAATCAAGAGTGGAACTCAAATCAGAGTCTAAAATTCATACTGTTTCCATCTTGATTCCAGTAAGACCTAGATCTCTTTATTAGCGTGAAGTGGATTCTCACCTGATGACTCCAAACTCTTTTTACTTAAAGAATAGATCTGATAATTCCTGCCACAGAGGATATTGTGAAGTTATGCATCACATGGGAATATTATGGAGTTTTACTATCATGTCAGCCTTAAAAAGATCATGCCTAAAACTCAAGGGTTACTCTTGTGGACACATCTTATTAACCTAATTGAATTGCACATTTTTCTAAAGCAACTGCATATTTGTACTCCCAGGAAAAATAATCTATACCCATTGTGATGCCAACATTATTGTTAAGACCATAAATTAAATAACTGAATGTATTTCTAGCTGGTAATTACAAATGTTTCTCAGGATCAAAATCTGCTTTTTCCTAATAATAGATTACATCATCAAAATTATGGTGTTAGAAACCTATTTTTTTCAGACTGGAAATAGCTTTGGATAGGAAATACAAAGCACAGGGCATAAACCTTATGTTTCCTTGCTGCCCTAAGCACTCTAGAAAATACAAATCAAATTTGTCACTTTTAATTCCCTACCCCTACATGGTTTGAAAAAATTGTGCTTCATATCCTAGCCTAACATGATGGTATTTAGATTGTAGTCACACAGCAGGTCATTTAATTGGTCTTTTCCCATTTAGAAATGCTCATATTTATCTGCTTGTCTTATTACCCATCTGTTCAAGGGGAAAGGATGTGTTATGACAGACTACAAATCACTTTGCCTTAATAATAAATAACCAGAAAGAGAGTTGAAATTTTAACTTTAACTTGAAAGAAATGAAAAAATTCAGGACCAAGAATATGCCTAAGCATAAAGCCTCAGTTTAATACATATCAGAGGCTCTGTTTTTATAAATTAATAATTTACTGTGAGAGCAGCATTTATCAGGCTGATTAAAGAAAAAAGAATTGGTCATTGTGGGCATCATATTTGTGAATTTGACTGGCTTTAGCTGATTGATGGATATTGTCTATACCTGTTGTTTCAGACACACATGTCCATTGCATATTTATTGTATATATCATAATTTTAAGAAAATTAATTGAACTCTGTTTTACTTAAGGGGCCATATAGCAGTGTTCTAGATTTGGAGTCAAACGCCTATAGCCCAAGACTGCCTGGTTTAGAAGCCCGGCTGCCTCATTTACTAGCTGTGTAACCTATAGACCTAAGTCTCTGTAAAATGGGAATACAGTAGTTCCCATCTCAAAGGGATTTGCTGATCATTAAGTAAGTTAATACATACAGATCAAATTGGTGTTTGAAATAAAGATTCATTAAATGTTACCTATTATTAACTACCATGTTTAAGTTTTTGTTTCCCAGTTCATAGTGGGACTAATAATACTTAACCTCATTAAGTTTTAGTGACAGCATAATGAGTTGACACTGATAAAGTTCTTGGTACACATAACTGACCATCAAGATATGCTAGCTATTATTATTATTATTACTCATTTTGCTTCCTTACACAAGTAAATCAGTTTGAAGACTAAGTATGAAGGAATTGCTATTCTTTTAACCACACTATAATCAGGCATTTCTTTTTAATGAACATCAGTTTTAGTCAACAATATCTGGTAGGATAGAACCACTAGGCAAAAGGGATAAGAAGGGAAAATTTCTTTATTTTTATTTTTGTGTGGAGGCAGGAAAAACTGGAGTTTTGATGACAACCCGTTTTTTAATTTTCTCTCCTTTAAGATCTGCGTTTGTTTTGTTACTGTTCTTTCTTTTCTGCCATTGACAGGTCTAGTGTAGAAGAAATTTTGTCTCTGGATTTCTTAGTTTCCTCCACCTGTGTCTGGGTTTTTCCTGTAATCATTCTAGTTTTAATGAAATTTGTTTGCCTGCATTCATTTTCTTTACATTTAGGATTCTGTAAAGAGTCAACCTCCAAATAAAATAGTTGTGAAACTACCGTCAAATCTGAGAAATGGAGTTTGGAAGTTTTGGATTCTAAAGTATATTTCATTATAATGCATATGCATGTTGGAGGAGGGGATACTTTCTGAAACATCTTAATCCACTACCCTCTTTTGCATTTAGGTGTATTTGTATTCTATACACAAGAAACTCATTTGCCAGGGTTTGTATGTAGGTGCTGAGAGGATGGGCTGTGACAATAATTAGAAGAGCAAAACTGTAAAAAGGAAGGAAGGAAGGAAGGAAGGGAAGGAAGAAAGGAAGGAAGGAAGAAAAAAGAAGGAAAAAAGGAAAGGAAGGAAGGAAGGGATTAGAATCCTATATGCGGGACTTTATACTGGAAGATCTCACATGTGATTCCAGGGAAAAACTTACCTTAATACCTAGCCACCAAGGCTTTCCTCCAGTAAATGAGTAATTGTAATGAGTAACAAACTGGGAATCCACTGCCTTCAATAAAACATGATGAGTGAACCTGGCTGAGCAGCCATCAGGTAGCTGTTACCAGAGAATGTAGATAACAGCCATGAAATGGTATGAAGTCACTGGGAGCCAGGTGGGTGATCAGATTTCCTAGGAGAAGCAGACCAGTGCACCTGGTGACAGCACTGGCATGGAGTGGGGTGGGATTGTTTATCAAAACCACACACCCTTAAAACGTTATAGAACTCTGCACTCCTTGACAATGTGAAATCCCAAATTCTCTTTTGAGCATAAAGAAAAATTCTCAGATTTCAAAATCATCTATTTCTTCTAAAATATCAATTTAACAATTGAATTTTTTTTTTTTTTTTTGGAGATGGAGTCTCACTCTGTCACCCAGGCTGGAGTGCAGTGGCACAATCTTGGCTCACTGCAACCCCCGCCTCCTGAGTTCAAGGGATTCTCCTGCCTCAGCCTCCAGTGTAGCTGGGATAACAGGCACGTGCCACCACGCCCAGATAATTTTTGTATTTTTAGTAGAGACGGGGTTTCACCATTTTAGCCAGGCTGGTCTTAAACTCCTGACCTCATGATCTGCCCACCTCGGCCTCCCATAGTGCGGGGATTACAGGTGTGAGCCACCATGCCTGGCCAGATTGACTTCTTTCTAAAAAAACTGCCACTGAGTTATGGGAATAAGAAAGATGATATGTAAAGAATAGACAAAGGGGACGGGCGTGGGGGCTCACTCCTGCAATCCCAGCACTTTGGGAGGCTGAGAGGCCAAGGCGGGTGGACCACCTGAGGTCAGGTGTTAGAGACCAGCCTGCTCAATATGGTGAAACCCCATCTCTATTAAGAATACAAAAAATTAGCTGGGCCTGGTGGTGGGCGCCTGTAATTCCAGCTACTCAGGAGACCGAGGCAGGAGAATACTTGAACCCTGGAGGTGGAGGTTACAGTGAGACAAGTTTGCACCACTGCACTCCAGCCTGGGCAACAAGAGCAAAACTCTGTCACAAAAAAGAAAGAAAGAAAAATGAATAGACAAATGCCCAGAAATACAGGCATTACTGTCCTGTATGGTCAGCCTTATCTAAGTAAGTAGAGGCTGGAATTTGCTCCCCATAAGACTTCAATTTCATTGATAATGCTTCCCCACTGATAATATTTCAATGCTAGAAGGCTCCAGAAAATCACTGGTCAATAGAGATGTTTAGCCGAATGAGACAGAACACATGGGCTGATGCAGTCCGGAACTGAAATGATTTGTTTTTTTTCTTGGGCAACTGACAACGATAATCTGGAAGATCGGAAAAACTAGCAACTTGGTGCCGAATCTGAAATGACCATCAAAGAAACATTTGCTTTCTTAAATCTATGAAATCTGAACCTAAGACTTAAATTCTTGATTTTTCTTCTTCCATTCTCTGCTTTAAGAAGATGCTTTTATTTTTTTCTGTCTGTCAATAAGAATTAACCAATCACTTTACTTTTCACTTTGGAGGACACGGGTGAGTTGACTGAACATTCTTGCCTATTGCCTGTTGATTCCCCAAAACTGAAATGGTTTTTTAAAAGTCATGCTCATCACCCCTTCCTCTGGCCCTAATGCTTAACACCTATCAATGACTTCTTACATTTTAAATAAAATTCTCACTCTTTACCATGTGTTAAGAGGCCCCACACACTGTGGGTTGGCCTCTCCATCCTTATCTGTCACCACTTTCCCTCATTCATATACTCCAACTGCACAGGTCTGAGTTTTATTCCTCAATTGTCCCGAGCCCTTGCCACTCAGGATCTTTGTTCTGGCTCTTTCCTCTGCTTGAGCTGCTCTTCCGCAATTCAGCCTGTTGCTGTCTCTTCCTCAAACTTCAGATCTCTGCTTAGATGACATCTCTGATATTCTTTCCTTGAGAAACCTTTCTAAAGCAACCTCTCTCAATACTTTCCCTTCTCTCCTGTAGGACCTGCTATTATCTCTATCTCTATCTCCTATCATCTGTATCTATATAAGATGATTTCTGGCATAAGATGTATGGAATGAATGAATGAATTTCAGCTTCTACACCACCCCTGTAAAATTCCAGTAATCGGGGAAACAGCAAGAGACTGTTGGTAAGATAACTATTTGTAAAGGATATGGTAAACTTTTTTTGAGAAGGACGTTGTTTGCACGAGAAAAAGGGTAGAAAATAGCAGTAATAATAATTATAGTAGTAGCTAATTACTAGCTAGGCACTGTAGTTACCTTTACATATATTTGCTCACTTCTCAGTATTAACTCAAGGAATAAAATGCACTCTGCAGGTGGCAATCATGGCTGCTCAGCAAAAGGCAGCTTTTCCTTGGATGGACTCTGATGCGGCAGGTCACACGCAGTCTGCACAACTGCATTCTGCGTACCTCCTACATTCCACATGACAGGGAATGCTTCCATCATGATTAACATTTTCTCTTCTTGAATAGAGAGAAAAGAATGCTGTAGCTTTACATATAAAAAGGACTGATGTCTCACTATTAATAGATTTATTTTGGAAGGCAACCAAGACAAAGCTCTTTTTTGTTTGTTTGCTTTGATCTCCCTTCAAACGTTTTATTTTCTTTGTAATAGGTCAGTTTGGCTCCTCAGTGGCCTCATACTTCCTCTTCTTGAGATGGATGTATGGAGTCAATATGGTTCTCTTTATCCTGACGTTCAGCCTCATCATGTTGCCAGAGGTGAGATGTGACTTCCAGCTTACAAAACGTGCTGAAAAATGTTTCTCCTAGAAAAGGATTTATCTTTTCTTTAAGAGTAGAATAATTAATTGGCTATGTTCACCTCTTAGAGTCATAGGATTTGTAATGAGATTAATCTTCAAAATGATGCCCATGGACCAAAGGTCCCAATCCTTGCACCAAAGGGTGTGTGAGCCTCCTGAAATTATACAACTTATGTATAATTTCACATGAATGTTTAAATGTGCCTCTTTATGTGGAAAATTTCATGGCTTCTTTCAGTTTCCCAAGGGGGTCCGTGTTCCTAAACGTTAATATCATTCCCGAGGAAGACTTTGACACCTTGTGAGTTGTATTTATTTATTTTGCCAAGTTAGCTTTGAAAGAAATGCTTCTTTAATGTGACTCAAAGCATCCAGATTTTCTATACTGAAGAAACACAAAATGAACATGTTCCCCCTAAGATATAAAGATAACGCCCACCACACACACACACACACACACACACACACACACACACACACACACACACACACACACACACACACACACACACACACACACAC